CAGCTCCCGGGGAGGAAAGGGGGGGGCGTGTCCGATCTTAGAAGCTCCCGGGAATCCCTGTCCTTTCTTGTGCCGGCTGTCTGCGACCAGGGATCCAGCTCTGAGCTCAAACAATCAGCTCCTGGCCGTCCAATCCAGGGGAGCACATTCTGGAAGCGAATGTAATGTTCCACTGACTATTTTTTTCCCCGCTGTTCATCACAATGTAGTGGTGACAAGGGAGCAAAGCTGTGAAAATTACAGGAAAAAGCATTTTTGTTTTAAAAATTTTTTCCCAATAAAAACCAAGGGTAAAAAGTAGGAATGCACCGATACTGTTTTTTTCCCGCTGTCGGGTACCAAAATATTTTTTTTCCGTTACTCGCCGATACTGAATATCGATACTGGAAGTCCCATTTAAGGAGAACTATGAGGGGCGTGCTTTTCACTCACCTCATAGTTCTAGCCGACCTGTGACAATGAGACTGTCACAGGTCGGCTCAGTAGATCGGGAAGTGAGCGAACACATACCGGCGTTCGCTCACCTCTCGATCCTGTCACGGCTCTCTGCCGTGACAGGGGAGGGGCTGGATTCCCCTCTCCCCGCTCCGATCCGCCAGCGCTGACTGGCGGAACGGACGGGGGAGGGGGCGGGTACAGCTGGCTCTGTCTTTAGATAGGCAGAGCCAGCTGTCAGTCAATTGTCGGGATCCGCTTTAGCTGCGGCGTCTCAGTATACCGCGAGCTACATCTCGCGGTATACTGAGCCTAGGGTAACGGGAGGACGCTAGTTTGTGTCCTCCCGTTACCCTAAGGAGAACTATGGGGAAAAGACAACCCCATAGTTCTCCTTTAAGGAAGCCGGGCGGTGTGTAATAACTCGCCACCCGGCTACCTGATTAGCAGGGAAGTCGTCTTCATGCTCCCTCGTCACCAGGTGATGAGGAAGCATGGAGCCGGTCAATCCGGAAGACGGGGCGGGTCATGACTCGCCGCCTGTCTTCCTGATGGGTCCAGAAGCTGACAAATCAGTAAGCCAGGTGGCGAGTCATTGCACAGCGCCCGGCTTCCTGATTGGTTAGAGATACCACTGAGCGCTCTCTGTGTATGTGTACAATCAATGGATTTTCTTTGTTTACACAGCGCCACCCAGGGGCTGCCCATAGATACTGCACAGTGGGACATTTCCAGACTGCCCCTGAGGAGCGGGAGCGTGGATGTCATAATTACAGACATGCCTTTTGGAAAGAGGTGAGAGAGAGAGAGAGAGAGAGTGAGTGTCAGCCATGGCAAAGGTTCCGATTACAGCTTTCATTTTATTAGAGTTCATGGCGGGATACAAGACTTCTGCAGATACACAGCCTGATGGAAGAAAGCGGTGCAACGGTTTAAAGTGGATCTATACCCCAAACTTTTACTTTTTAGCTATGAATACAGTATTAGAACCCCTCTCAGGTTTTGCTACTCAAGGAAGCTCCGTTGGAATGATTCTACTGCTTCCTGTCTAATATAAGCTTGTCCCTGGGACAGGAAGTGATGGATAATCTCTCTAACAGCAACACCAACAGGAGTATAATGTTTTTTATTAACTTAACAAGGAGAATGCTGAAACCTCGGTCAACTTTTTTTTATTGTTGTCTGGTGCAGATTTCCCCTCACTTCCTGGCTGGTAAAAGGACAGGAAGTGAGGGAAAATCTCTTTAACAGAGTCCCGGGATAACAGTAAAACCTGACAGATTCCAACAGAGTATAAAGGGTAATAGTAATACAGTATATAGGGTATGGATACACTTTATGCATATGGAAACCCAATTACTACAATTTTATGAGCTTTAAAATGTAGTTTCCAGTATTTTTAAATCTGCAACTTTCATTAAAAAATAAATCCCTGTTGATCCTGCCATGAAGGTTCTTGTCCCTGTTATAGTGTAACAGCACTGTCTCAGAATCAGAATTGTGCTGTCCATCCCTTTTTCTGTTTTGTTTTTTTTTCCCCTTTTGATTTGTGTGGGGAATATAATAGCTGTGATCTCTAGCAGTCTCTTGTAGAGTGCCTACAGTCTACGTGTCTCCCAATACCCAACAACTTGTATAGTATACCTGTAGTCTCTGGCCATCCTCCGTAGCGTGCCTGTAGTCTCTGGCCATCCTCCGTAGCGTGCCTGTAGTCTCTGGCCATCCTCCGTAGCGTGCCTGTAGTCTCTGGCCATCCTCCGTAGCGTGCCTGTAGTCTCTGGCCATCCTCCGTAGCGTGCCTGTAGTCTCTGGCCATCCTCCGTAGCGTGCCTGTAGTCTCTGGCCATCCTCCGTAGCGTGCCTGTAGTCTCTGGCCATCCTCCGTAGCGTGCCTGTAGTCTCTGGCCATCCTCCGTAGCGTGCCTGTAGTCTCTGGCCATCCTCCGTAGCGTGCCTGTAGTCTCTGGCCATCCTCCGTAGCGTGCCTGTAGTCTCTGGCCATCCTCCGTAGCGTGCCTGTAGTCTCTGGCCATCCTCCGTAGCGTGCCTGTAGTCTCTGGCCATCCTCCGTAGCGTGCCTGTAGTCTCTGGCCATCCTCCGTAGCGTGCCTGTAGTCTCTGGCCATCCTCCGTAGCGTGCCTGTAGTCTCTGGCCATCCTCCGTAGCGTGCCTGTAGTCTCTGGCCATCCTCCGTAGCGTGCCTGTAGTCTCTGGCCATCCTCCGTAGCGTGCCTGTAGTCTCTGGCCATCCTCCGTAGCGTGCCTGTAGTCTCTGGCCATCCTC